TCGTCCAACTCTCTCATTCTACAGGTAAGAAAATAGAGAGACCAAAAGAATACATAGCAGGTCCTTTGACTACAAATTCAACCTTCCTTCCACTGTCGCATGCTTGGAGGTTTTTGGTCAAGGAAAGTCAGTAAAATGGGCTTCTATACATGTTTGTTTGCATATCTTCTCTCTGCATTAGGCTGTGAGCTCTTTGAGAGCCTAGACTGGATTTTTTTTTTTTAATTTTAGCTTTTGCCTTTCTTTATATCCCCACTGCTTAGACCAGTGTCTGGCACACAGTAGGTGCTTAATAAATGCTTACTGACTTGACAAAGAAGTGCTATGCATCATTATACGCAGCAGATAGAATTTGATCTTCGGTATATTAAGATTCTTGGTAAAATGAGGAGCTTTATAATGAACTTTTATTACATTTCCTAAATGTATAATCCAGGAATCAAAGAGCACTTTGATTCCCACATTTCAAGCTTCTTAAATATGTGAAATGTAAAGGAGAATGCCAGAGCTGGAAGAGAACACAAGAGATAATCCAGCTCAACCCTTTCATTTTAAAGAAAAGGAAAACTGAGACCCCAAAGAAGTGAAGTGCTTGTTGAAGACCATCTAGGCCAGAGGTGTCAAACATGCGGCTGCACGTGGACCACAACACTCCAGAGTTCAGCCTCAACCAGATTAAAATGTAGTTCCTATCTGATTTCAATGCACTAATGTATTAATTTAAAAAAAATATGTAAACGTGGGTTTTTAAGCCAACATGTTACTCTCGGGATCCTTATGCATGGTTTAGTGGCCCCCATTTCTACCTGAGTTTGACCTCACAGATCTATCAAGTCTAGCATAGCAGGAACTAGAACACAAGTGTTAGATTGCTTGGTATTTCCCAAGGCATTCTCCTTTCGAAACAGAACCCTAGAGGTAAACTCAGTTGCCTGCGATTCAGATAAGTTGTACAAAATCTGATCTACCTTTTATCATCGCTTGTTGATCTATACTGGTACAAGCTGGGGGAGGGGGGTTGGCACTAGAAACTTTCCATAAGCATATATATGTGGATGTGGATGAATAGATGTATATATGTAGGTTGTATACACACACACACACACACACACACACACACACACCCACCCCATCTGCCTCGGTACCCCTGTGGATGAAAGTAGTTTCCCAGTGAGCCCTGTAGTGAGTGACAAGGTTTTTCTCAGCCTCTGTACTCAGCCAGTCTCCCATTCTTCTTTCCAGTCAAGACATTCCCCAAACATACAGTCATGGGCTCTGGCCCTCAGCTTTCAGAATCACACGGATGGATCCTTTCAGTTCATAGGCAATACTCACTCTGACTGCCAGCACTGCCTGTACCTTTCCTCACCCTCTGTTCTCACGCCAAATGCTCAATCAAAACACATAGCAGCCACTTGCTCTCTCTCACCCAGGCTGGCCTCCAACCACCTTTAACACTCTCTCTCTCTTTCTTTTTCTCTCTGTATCTTTGTCTCTGTCTCTGTCTCTCTCTCCAGTGCTCTACCATGGAACCATAACCAAGTTTTCCCCTACAATGACAAATGATGGCGAAGAAATCTTTCCATTCAAAAGGCAACCACTACATTTGCCTTCCCATCTAGTAGCATTTCAAGCTCCTGACAGAGATCTCCCCACGACGTCCAAAAGCCTCACTCCTTCCCCTCTTTCTTCTTTCTGAGGAGGATGTGGGTGGGGAGGCAGGTGTGTGTGGCAATACTGTCTCTCCATAAACCCTAGAGAAGAAACTGCCTGGTTCTTGTAAAAGTTCTTGTTCCTGAGAAAACTGATCATCTGCTGCTCTATTGTCTCCTGCTATATTGTTGGGTCTATAGATTAAAAAACTCTCATGGCTTGTCTCAACGTTTTCCTGTCCAGAACTCTCTAGACCTTTCTGTTGGCCATTTGCTCTGTTGTTCAATCATTTTTCAGTCATGTTTGACTCTTCATGATCCCATTTAGGATTTTCTCGGCAGAGATACTAGAGTGATTTGCCATTTCCTTCTCCAGCTCATTTTACAGATGAGGAAACTGAAGCAAACAGAGTTAAATGACTTGCCCTGGGTCATACAGTTAGTTAGTGTCTGAGGCCAGATTTGAACTCAGAAAAACGAATCTTCCTGACTCCAGGTCCAGAACTCTATCCACTGTGCCACCTTGCTGTCCTTTGCTAGGCCATTTGCTCTACCTTTCTTTTAAAGGCATTAAGGACCAGTTCAATCATTCCTTCTATCTTTTCTTGACTATGTCTGTCTACCTGGGATGGAGTCCTGAATTTATAAGTCCTGCCCACTAGGTTTTCTTCCTCACCTCTAGATCTTCATCTTCAGAGCAAGAAGGATATTGGTCAGCAACTTCCTTATCATTCCTCCTCTGGACCATTTTTAGCTTCTTTCTTCGAGTATATCCAAGCTCCTGGGAAAGAAGATATTGGACCTTCCCCTCTGAACCCTGGGAACTGGTACTGCCAAGGTCTCTAATCATGGCAGGGGTGGTACTTCCTGAACCACTGGGTCAGGTGACCTGGCCCTCACATCAGAAATATGGGTCCAGCTGATAGCAGTATAGTTATCCCTGGTGAAATAAGACCTCAACACTGAGAGGGAGCTCAGATCATCTATTCTAACCTATAACTGACCAAGAATCCTTTTCCCACAACACTGCCAAAGTGGTCAAGCCTCTGTTTGAAGAGCTCCCAGGAGGGAGAACTGAGTGGGAATCTCTGGAGTGATCTTTGGTAGCTATTTCATCTTTCCTACCTCTTCAGAGAATGGGACTCTGCCCCTAGAGCTATCCTGGGCTTTGACAGGCCAGATTTGGCATTATCTGGTTGGACTCCAGGCCTACACCCATAGCTTACAGTCACACCAAGTGAGTATGTCCCCTCTTACCCACCAGCTCTCCTTTATATGTTCTCTCTCTTTTTTATTATTATTTATTTTATTTTTTATTTGTGGAATAAAAAATGGTAGAGTAGGTCAGAAATTTCCAGGCTCTTCAGATTTCCTTTACATGTTGTCTTTCTCAAAGTGAATGTAAACTTCTTGAGGACAGGGACTGTCTTATTTGCTCTTATTTGTATATCCAGTGCTTAACATCGTACCTAGCACATAGTGATTATTTAATAAAGTGCTCACTTTTTCTCTTCCCTTCTCTCTGTCTCTCTCTGTTTCTCCATCTCTCTGTTTGTCTCTGTCTCCCTCTCTGTCTCTTCATCTCTCTTTATGTCTCTCTCTGTCTCTCCATCTCTGTCTCTCTATGTCTCTGTCTTTGTCTTTATCTCTCTCTCTCCCCGCTATGCCTACCCACAGGTGCACCTTTCCCACTCTAGATCTGGGACCAGCAACTATCTCAGGCCGCATTCAAATCTCACAGTGTAACCACTGCCTTTTCTTCCGTTCTCCCAGCACTCAGGCTAGCTTCCAACTACTTCAAAACCCCATACATCAGTTTTCTGGCTACTTAATTCCTTAATGCCCTTGGGAACTGTAATCCAGAGCTCCTCCAAACCCAGGATATGAAGAGATAAGAAGGAAAGCCTCACAGCTTCCAAAGTTCTGAGAGAAATTATTATTTTCTATTATATTAATAAGCCATAATTAAATTAGGAGCAAGACTTTTTCTGTTTTATTTCCTCATTTAGGGCTAGCCCCTGCAGAAGGTCAGGCAGTCTCTGAAGGACATGGCTGACTGATGAGAGTGCTCTAACTCCAGGGGAACATGCTCATAAATCTTGGGCCAGAGCCCACCTAAGTAGGAGACATTACTTCTGTTCAGAATATAAACAGAATCCAGTCTAGGCAAGTTCTTGTCCCAAGAAAATAAGTCCCTGTCCTTGTAACCCTCCATTAGATTCTAGGGTGACCCAGCTCATGAAGGAAAAAAACAACCAGAGGGGTCTGGGTAGAGATGGATTCTCTTAGAGGCAGCTGAGTCTCATGATCCAGAACTGTTCTCAGCAGAAAGAGCTGAGGACTCCTAGTCAACCTCCTCATTTAATGTCCAGCAATCAGGTTGATCTTCACTTGCTAGGAACATCCCCTTTTACAAAGGTATTTAAAACACGCAGTGTCTACGCTGGGGGTGGGGTGTCTTTGGTTACTGAGAGAAACCATGGACCATCAATTTATTGCTTTTTAGCCAGCCTAACTAGTAAATAATTACCCAGAAACTATCTCTCGGTTTTTCACTCATCACAGTTTCTACTAGTAGCTCAGGTGTGAAGTCACTCCACTCTGCATGCCTTGGGACATTGGGTCCTCAATGCCACTCTGGCTAGTTTCTTCCCTGCCATTCCTATTAATGCTGCAGCTCTATCCTCCAAACTAGACCACCAGAGGCTACACTCCGGAGGAGCTAAACCACTCAGTCTTTGTGCTCTGTGGGACCTGCATTCTCACATCAACTTCAAAACAAAGTCCCAAATGTCATTCTTGAGGTTGCCTTGTAGAACTTAGAGGTCTTAGTGAAATACCACATGGGAAAAATGGATGTTCAGGTCTGTTTTCAGCAAGTAGCAAAAGGGTCAAATTTAAAAGATTAAATGAATTCAAGAATCCTTACGATCAAGAAGATGCGGCCCTAGTCCTAACACAGCAATCATGATAATGACAACAACTTTATATTGTGCTTTTAAGATCTGCAAAGCATCTTATATGATTAAACTCTGGACTTGTTCACCCTCACCTGTGTTTTGAAGGTCTTTTTTTGTGGTCTGGATCTGTGATTTTTTTTTTTTGGCAAAGTGAATTCCCATTGAGAAAACACCTGGGTTAACTTTTCTGCCACTTCGGGTATAAGAAACTTGACATGGCTTTGAGAGGATGTCACTTGCCCAGCATCACAGTCAGTATACTTGAGGCTGGGACTTGAAACCCGGTCTTCCTGCCCCTGAGGCCAGCTCTGTATCCACTATGCCATGATTCCTTTCCTTCATCTTCCTGAAATGTCATTTTTAGCATTCATAGAATTGAAAGACTCACCTGGATTTTCTCTTCTTCTGGTGTTGAAGCTTTCCTAGTTTCTGTCCCTGACTCCTCATTGTCTATTCTTTTGGAGGCATTGGGGACCTCCCGATTTTTCAATGCTTTTGAATCAGGAAGCAGCAACTGAGGCCTGGAAGTCTTAGAGGATTCTTTTGCTTGAGTTTTTCTGAAAAGAAACAATAGAGGAATTATCTTTTTAAAAAAAAAAACAGCCTTTCAACCTACTGGGCTATTCAAAATGGGACATCCATGTTTGAATGAAGTGAATGCCTGGCAAGTCTAAAGTTTAACTTAGCAACCCTTCCCTCATGCCAAAAGGCAACCTTCCTTAATAAGATAAATGATTCCTTTGGAACCAAGGGACCAGTTATTTTTATAAGAGTCAAAGGAGCTGTTCATAGCATTGTCAACCCTCTGAGACTGAGCTGGAGTCTCCCCAAATCTGTTCCATTATCTTTTCTTTTGCAAAATTCTTAGTTGGATATAGGGTTATTGGCAGAATGAACCACAACACCAACAGGAAGCAGGGCAGAGGTGGAAGGAATGACGGAGGCCAACATCTTGTAGCCAACAGAGGCCATGTTGCATTATGTGCGTCAGAGGAGCTCCCACTTCTGGTCAGTCTTCCACATGAGTTCACTTTCACTCTGCATTCTTGGGCTGAGACTCCTGGAGGCTGACAACCTTAATGGTGTCACCGACCTATGGACCAGACTTCACTGAGTGCTAGATATACCATTTGTGTTCTGCTCCATTTTGATGGGCTTGCTCTTTAAATGAACCCACTGCTGCATGTCTATGAAACCACACAGGCGATCTCTATGTGCACAAGGACTGAAAAGTCCCTTTGAATGTTAACAGTGCCCTACTGAGACCAGCCAGTGCTCATTCTGATGCTCTGCAGTTGCAAGCATTAGGAAGCACTTCTGTAAAAACCTCTTTGACCAAGACCTGCCCAGGGTTTTCTTATCTCTTTCCCCCTCCTCTACCTGCAGGAGAGAGCAAAGAGCATCTTTTCATCTACTCGGAAGTTCTGTCTACCTCTTACTGAGAAAGTCACTAAGAGACAGGTACATTCTCTCCCTTGGGGTGGAGAATCCCATACCTGAGCTCCTCTGCTTCTTTCTGTGCCTGCTGCCATGCCCGCTCAGCAATAATTTCATCACAGATGACATCGTAAGGTTTATCTAGTTGGTGTTCCCCCATTACCCATACCCAGACTTCTTTATCTGCTCCAAGCTTCCAACTTACAGTTTTCCTGTTCTCTGCAAAAAAATAAATAAATAAATAAATTAAAATAAAATAAATAAATAAAACAAAAAATGCATCAAAAAAACAAACATAATAAATAAAATAAAACACTAGATTAGTAGATATATCTACTGAATAATATAGTAAATAGTAAGTATATCTACTTAAAGTAGATAGATAGAGAGAGATATATTCAATTGTATTTTGCTATTTCCTGCTATTATAATATCTAGGTTCTTTAAAAGGGATGGAAGATTAGATAAGACAAAGTAGATCTTTTATTTTTTTGTTTCCAACTTGCTCAGTATAAGATGTATAATTAGATAAACAGAGAGAGGTAGAATAGGTAGGATAGACAGGAAAAAAAGAAAGTTAAATAATGATAATAATAATAGTTAACATTTATATAGCACTTCTTATATAGTACTATGCAAAGTGAATAACAATAATGACTAACATTTATAGAGTGCTTACTACGTGCCAGGCATGGTGCTAAATGCTTTACAAATATTATCTCATTATAGTCCTACTGATAACTTTGGAAGCAGGTGCAATTATTATTCCCATTATACAGATGAGGAAACTGAGGCAAACAGGGTGACATGATTTGCCTAGGTCACACAGCTAGGGGCTGAGGCCAGATTTGAACTTGGGAAGATGCGTGTTCCTGGCTTAGCACTCTATGCACTATGGCATCAGCCTCTAAAAGATGAAGATGATAAATAGATGATAGATTATGCATTCATCAAACACTATGTTCCAAGTACTGTGCTATTAGGAGATGGATTTATTAGCATCTGTTTATAAAATAGTCTATGGGTTTCTGTCATGTTGATATTCTCATTTTGTAGGTGACCAAGTTTATGCATGAAGAAGTCAAACATCTTGAACAAGGTGAAATAAGATAATCAAGCTGAAAAGAGAACTGGCAACCCTTTTAGTATCAAGGCCACAGAATTATTTCTTTTCCTAAACATGTCCTCCCAGACTTCTGGTGCTACTTATTTGGGTATCTAAGCGTCTCATTGGTTAGAGTGCTAGGCTTGGAGTCACAAAGACTCATCTTCCTGAGTTCAAGTCTGGCCTCAGACACTCATTAGCTGTGTGACCCTGGGCAAGTCACTTTAACCCTATTTACCTCAGTTTCCTAATCTGTAAAATGGAGATAATACCACCTACCTCTAGGGTTGTTGCAAGGATCAAGTAAGATATTGTTTGTAAAGTGCTTTGCAATCTTAAAGTGCTATATGGGGTATTCCAAAAATCTTTGTCCCAAAAAGACTTTTGGGTCACCCGTATAAATATTAGTTATTATTATTGTTATTATGATTCCTGTCAACTGACCTAGACATAATCAAAGCCATGACCTTGGCGTTATTAGTACCACATTCTAACCAACTGATCTAGTTAGCCTTGACCTAGATTCCTGGGGTCCTAAAGAATGGCCCAAACAACATGGAGTCTTGAGGCTGTGGGTACCTGGTACCTGTGGACACTGGTTATATTTCATGTTATTCTATGGGCCAGAAAGCAGTACTTTAAAGGTTCAAAGTTTATACCAGGCTCAAGTTGAAAATTCAGCACATTAAATAAGAGAAGCACGCCAGGTGAAGTGTCCTCATGTAACTTTGTCCACTGAGACATCTGAGCTCCTTCAAACTCTTTTAGAAAGAGGCTCCTAAAACTGAGAATGTGCGTGCAATAGGCACCTGGTACCTTGTAATAAACCTCTAAAGATAGGCACTCAGAGAAAAAGATCTAGAAAAAAACAAAATTACATTCTCTTGTGTAAACAAGAGTGTTAGTTATGTTATCCTCCAAGAGAGAATTGCCAGCTGATGACTTCATGAAAGGGGTCTGGAAAAGGCAAAAGGGACTGAAAAGGAAAAAAAAAGCAAAAATATCGAGGATGCCTGAATTCTTACATACAATCTAATGAAGATGATGAACTTCTGTATCAGTATTAGCAAGCTCCTGTTACTGTTTCAAGAATCTCCAAACGGTTGATTGACCTTAGGAAGCCACTATATCTAATAAACCTCTCTGGGGTGTTTACTCTTTCTGTAATTAATAAAATGCTTACATTTGTCTCTCACTAACTCGTTCTTCATCTGAAGATCTCTAAAGTCACTGAACCCTGTTTGCCTCAGTTTCCTCATCTGTAAAATGAGATGGAGAGGGAAATGGTAAACCACTCCAGTATCATTGCCAAGAAAACCCCAAATGGGGTCACGAGGAATCAGACGTGACTGAGAAACGACTGAACAACAAATCAGCACGTTTAAATTTTTTCTCTTTTTTTTTCTTTACCACAAAAGAAAGAGCAGCAGAGGACAAATAAAAGATAGATAAGTAAAGATGACATTCGGTAAAACTGGAATTTCCTTTGTTCAGCCTGCAGTGCTAATGCAAGTAAGCCAACGTTTCCCAAAGGGAAATGAACAGTGATGCATTTGAGACGCATGGTCTCTACAGCGGAGCAGACAAGGAATTCTAGCAACAGAAGTGGTAGCTGGGTTTGGCAATGAGACAGAAAGCGGAGACCCGGGAGAGGAGGGAGGACGAAGGACGGCACAGAATAATGGAGAAAACGGAGAAAAGTTCAGAATGGCGAGGGTACCTGAAGGGAAAGGGCTATGCCTAAAAATGGCCATTAGCATATGACGCGCCGGAAAGTTTGATGTAAAACGTGAAATCCAGACCAACGCTAAACAATGGAGTAGTGAATGATAATAATTATTATGATATTGTAGGGATCAAATGAGCCAGAATATATAAAGCACTTTGCAAACCCTAAGTGCTATTTTAAAACTATAAAAGTTCAAAACTGCACTAAGACTTTTGGTATAACTCTTAAATATAAAAACCAAAAACAACATAAGAATCATTAACATGTATGGAGTCATAATCATGATTAATATATAATCATTGAATATATGACCTAAAATATAATAACTGATATTTATTTAGTACCTTAAGATTTGCAAAGTTCTTTAAGTACCTCATTTGAACTTCATAATAACCCTCTGAGGTAAGAACTCTAAGAATCATTGTGTCCATTTTACAGATGAAGATACTGAGGCCCAGAAAGGTTAAGTGATTTGCCTGTAGTTACCCACTCAGTAAGTATCTGAGGCAGGATCTGAACCCAGGTCTTCTTGATTCCAAGTCCAGTACTACATTCACTCCACTTCTTCGGCATCTGACAACTGCTTTTCACCTCACTTTCCATCTGGTTCCTCTCGTGGCTGAGTGCCAGTATTTTTTTTTTTTTATCTTCACAATCTCTCACTCCATCTCTTTCCTACAAATCTCTAGGACCTAAAAATGCCAGCTTTGCTACTCACTACTGATGTAACCCTGGCCTCAGTTTCCTCATCTGCAAAATGAGAGTGTTGGACTAGGTGCCTCTGACATCCCTTTCAGCTCTAAATCTACAATCCTCTGTACCTAAATTGAGACCCGCCTTGCACACACAATACTCTTCCCATCGATTGACTGTTTATGTCCGACCGAGCTCTCCAACGGAGGCCAAAGAGCAACACCAGAAAGAATGGAAGGACGCGAAATGGGACATTAATTATTACTTAGCAAACGGCTAAGGCTGAGAACTAATTGCAGTTACAACTAAGCACAAACTCAGACACTGAGACATGGGAGTGATTCTATCAGACTCTGCAGGGAAGATAAGAACCTGCCACAGACAGCAGCCACATTTCTATCCCTGAAGTGAACCTCATTAAGGTCAACTTGCAAAGAGAGGTGCTCATTACAGAATACTCCGTAAACAGTGACCTAGTAGATGTTGACACTAACTAGGACTTTGGGGTTTGCTTTCTAGCTCCAACTTGCATATCACATGCAATTCTCAAACAGCATACAGAAGGATAATAATAACATTAACAACAACTAGCATTTATGAAGCACTTTAAGGTTTTCAAATTGCCTTACAATACTATCTCATTCGATTCTCACAACCGCACTGGGAGGTAGGTGCTATTATTTTCCCCATTTTACAGATGAGGACACTGAGGCAGGTAAAGGTTAAGTGACTTGCCCAGGGTTAAACTACTAAGTATCTGAGAAAAGATTTGAACTCAGATCTTCCTGACTCCAGGTCCTGTACTCTATCCACTGCACCACACAGTCACCCTACAGGTAGCCAAGATAGGGTACATATTTGATTACACAATAGTCTTCTAGTAATTCCTTTGTCTCTTTTTCCCTCCTGACCTAGGCCTGTGGATATGAACGATAGTTCTTGTTTTCTGACTTCTGAAATTTGGAGGATTGCTATCGCAACTGACCTCTCCCCCCCAAAAAAATCAGATAAATGGATCAATTTCTCCTGAGGAACACTGAGGATAAAGACATAAGTCTACACTCTATTCTTTTGTACAGCCTTGCTTCTCGTATATTTTTTAAATAACTATATTTTCCAAGCAAAAATAAATATTGAGCCAAACATCATTGTTTTACATATTTTTACAAATCTAGTTAATGTCTGGCTTAATAAAAGACTGCGAGATTCTCACATATGTTTCTGGGTTCAATCTGTCATGATGTGTTGTTTTGGTTGAAGTATATGAAGAAAATCTAGATTCTTCATAAGGCCCACTTTCAGACCCACATGTGACCTTCATCTGAGAAAAGCTCATAAATCCAAGATGTGATAATGTCTATAAAGCTCTTTGCAAACCTTAAGGCCCCAAATAAAGGTCAACTTATTATTAGCTGGAAAATGTATTTTAATAAGCAAATAACATCTTAGTGTTATTATGAAAATACTTTTGATCTCACCAGTCCCCTGAGACATGCTGGCAGCATCTAATCATATGACCATGGCTACCAAGTTTCTTTATGCCTCTGTTTCCCCAAGTGTCAGTATCCATGCAAGGTACTCATGCCCACAGAGTTCTAAAGATGAGTGAGGGAATGTTTGTTAGCAGAACACTAAATTCTCAGAAAGAAAGAAATGTTCTAAAGCAATCATTCTCTAAGTGAGCTTCATGGA